CTACTTGATGTTCTTCCTCTCCCGGGTGAGTTCTCTAGAAGCGTTCTTTTCTGTCTCTCGAAAATAGAGAATCACATTTTCGAAATGATTCTTTCCAGCTTTCACTGTAGCCAGAGATGCGACAAATAGCGTCGATTCGGGTTAGTGAAACTAATTTCTTAGTGATGAATCAATTTGATTGCTGAATTTCAGGTGACACACCGTCAGTCGAAGTACGTTTACATTTTTTGTAAACATTAAAAAATTTACTAAAATATACTAGGTTGCCCAAGAGATAAACTTTGATCTCCATCGTCAATGCGATCTCAAGGCGCTATCGCAATATAAGGGGGGTTGTGGTCAGTAGAAATCGGGTACAATATTTCTTTGTTATGAAATCGGGACTGAGCCTTAGACGGAGGTTAGAGACACCAGGGTGCCTGAGCTGTTTTCGTTTTTCCCGAAATTCCTGCCTCCTTCTGGGCTTAATCCGAAAGAATGCCCCCATTACAGGGGTGTCCAGGAAAAAAAAGAGACACTTTACTGCCACACTTCATAACAGACACGACATCAATTCGCGTACTTTGTTATAAATCAATCGACTGGCCTAACTTGTATCAAAGAACAAGCATTCTAATACTATCTAAACCGTTAACTGCAGCCTTCTACACGCGAGCGAAATCAGACAACTTTTCCTCACGGAAGACTATTGGTTCGCGATATGAGCCTAACGAGGTCGTTGACGGTACCATAGACCATTACGACGTCTCTGAAACGCTGGTCAAAAGCGGTTTTGCATAGTCACAGCTAATGTCTCTAGGAAGCTACTCAAGCAGCTTAATCTATTGCAGAAATACGTAAGCAGCTTCAGGCCGGAGCGACAACGGTAAGCCTCGTTGAGCTCGACGGTGACGGTAGATGACGTCATATTGTATAACACGGGCCGGGGAACAGTGAAGGAGGGCCGCTGTTTCTGTTAAGCGGGGAATCATCTAAGAAAATCACGGTGCCCGTAAAACTTGCGCATTAGCATGGACCCTGTGCCATCGAAAAGTTCGATATCTCGCTTGATGGCGAAGTGCTCTTTTTTTTTTGGCCACCCCTGTATACTTGCGATAGCGCCGAAGTCTCAAATAAATCGCACTGCTTGCTACTCTCCTGCAACTGCTAGCTCGTTACAGTGTGGTTCATGTGATGAGCGTGCCTCATAGAGACCTCAACATCCCCTTTATGTAATATCTTTAGTTATGAGATTGCTGGTTTGCTTATGGAGATCAATCGCAACGAAGGCTTCTTGATAAAGTACTCTGGCGCCTATATTAGTAGAATCAGGAGTCATATATTAATTTTCATTAAAGACGAATTCGCGAATAGGTGCAAGGCGAAGAGTGAGTAGTTCATCGCGTAGTTAAGGGACCCGGCGACTATCTCAGGGGTGGGCGACTGACGCGCGATTGGCACCGAAAATTTGAACTTCGACCTCTAAGTAAGCTCAAATCTGCGGTGGCCGCCCACCGATCATCTGATCACTCGCCGCAGGTCTATACGTGGCGAGTGATTAGATAGGTGAGAGAGCGTAGTGTTGAAGAGGGCACAGCGATGAGAGTCGCATCAATGCTCAAATCAACGGGCAAGGAAGGGGTCCATTTCTCGTTCTGGGCCGTTTCTCATGGTTTTCTTTCGTGTACCACTCACCATCTCTAAGTTAATTTGAAATGGGTTGCCTTTTCTATGCGTGAATTCGTTCATTTATTAGTCCGAAAAATATCCTGTAGATTAATTTTAGCCTGAGATTCTGGGATGTGGATTAGTCATCCTGTGATTCTGCATAGCAATAACATTTCAACAATTGATTCCTTTCCAGACGCCAGATTTCTCCCCGGAATCACCAGATTCCCCTGAAAGCGGACGTGGCAGAAGAGCCGCGTTTAGACCTCATCAGAAATGATGGTCGCTTCTCGAAATCGGGCAAAAGCCCTAATTTGAACGTTGCGATAAATATTGCTTAGCATTCCGCCGAATAATGTTTAACACTTATTCTGTGCTATTAACCTTTCCGTAATAAACTTTCTGTTTGCTTCTGTGATGTTATAATTACTTATGTCATAAGGTTACCACATCGAACAATAATACCATCAGAATGAAATGACTCCAAAGGGAAGCCAAAATGTTTACTAGATGGATTGCGAAGTTCATGCGCACGCCCAATGATTTAGTCCTCTTTTCTTGAGGTCCTTCTCTTGGAATATTTTGATTGATGGCAGAGATTGAGAAATGGTAGAGAATGGGACGGAAAATAGACATGCTGTTCATTTCTGAAAATTATGTTCCTCTTATGTTTCTCGATAAGCTACACCAGATGCAGTTTGCTCATTTTGCATTAATAGGCCCTATTCGCGCAAAAAGTGGAGTGGCAAATCAGTACAGTGGTACATAATTTTTGCGAGCAACTAGAATCACAGCTTACGAAAGGAGTCATCCAGGAAATGCTGGAACCTCATTTCTCCACCATCCTCGTTTAAATGTTGTACTGGATAGGGCGAGGATGCAGCCGTAGGGATGAGGTTTCCCGAGGTGGAATAGAGAGCTCCTCATTGAGAAAACAAGTTCCATCGTCCAGAAGTAAAGCTTCTCAGATAGCTGGCTCATCACACCGAGCTACTTCCCATTCTCCAAGCATGAACAGCAATTTTAAAGGAATCCTTCTGGAAAATTCTTGATTTTTTCTTCCAACATGAATATGTCAGTTGTGATCACTAGAGACAACAACAAAGTTTCACGCATGAAGATTCGGTTTCCGAAGAGAAACAAACTACAAAAACCACACTCTATGGACAATCGAAGGTAGGTCGCGCGGAGCCAAAGGCGGGGCATGGAAAGAAGTGCGCCTTGGGCGGCCAGGTATCAGCGCGACGCGTTGGAAGAATAAACTCAAAGCGTGCGATTTTGGACTCGATAAGTCAAAAGTTCAAAAAATTTCTGCTTTCAGAACTCCGTAGACCAATATTTGTGACAGATGCCCGGCGGGAATTCGAACGCGTTGCAGTCCTTCCAGTTTTCGAATTGTACCAAACAAATGCAATTTTTTTGCTTCTTTTCATTCTTATCGTGAGAAATCGGTGTCAAGCCAGTGATTCATAGGTGAGATGGAATTTTTTTTCTTCGATCCCCTTACCTTGCCAACATACACTCTCAAGTAAACTACGGCAACACAGAATTCCAAGCATGAGACGCTGACGCTGACATCGTCACAAGTTGGGAAATCGACGGTATGTGAAGTAGCATACTACAGCCTGACTGGTTTGACGGTGAAGAGCCGTTCAAGGCACGACAACGGCCAGCTCTCCTTTTCGTCCCTGCCCTTCACCACGCGATTGGCCACATCTCAAAAGCCTCTCATTTCAGCAGATGAAGACCTTTTTCTGTCATCAAAATCAGAACTGTCAAAAATGACGATGCCACTCTGGATGGGATAGCAAAAACTTCAGGAGCAAATTTGAGCAGATGAGTGAGAAAATTTTAAAAATTGCTGTACAGGGGGATGAGCAGAGTCAATGGTTCGTCCGGCTGACTCAGACGGGGGCTTCTACCGAGCTCACGAGAAAAGGGGATGTCATGGTGAATGCAGAGGCCCGCGGCTCAAATCGGGCGGTATCGACATTTCTTATGAAGGGAAGTGGAAATGGGGAAAGAGTAGGGATTTCCACCCATTGCTTCCTGCTTCAACAAAAATCCGACTTGGATCGGAATGGGCGGCCATTTACGAGTCATAGCAACATTGAAAATATGAAGTTCAAATGCGCGAATTCGAAAGCACAGGCTCATGCGTGGCACATCCCAGAGCCGGATTTGCTAGTGCTACTTAAATGCTTCAAATTTGATTGGTCGTAAGCGAAAAGAAAAATGAATTACAGAAGAATTCAGTTGCTTGGTTATGTTCCATGACGCGAAATTCAGAACAGGAAGCACTGATACGGAAGAATTCCCTTCTCAATACATTAGAAGGTCCACAATAGAAACCTTTCGAGGCGAGTAATTGTTCAAAGAACTTTCCGTGATTATCAGAGAATTGAAATCCCTACTTCCAGGGAAACCTTTTTCCCCAATGACATAATGAAGGAAGTTATGGTCGTTGAAGTTTCGAAGATTCGCTCAATCGCGAAAAGGCCTCAGAAACCTTTGAAGAAAAGAAATGCGACGGATGAATTTTGCGAAAAATAAACACTAGAAGAGGCTCATGCTCTTTAGTGTTCTGCGTGTGTAATGCCTAACCCAATTTCATTAATGATTACGCATAACTTCGTATAGCATACATTATACGAAGTTATACGAACGGAAAAGGTCCTGGCGTACGATTTTTTTCAATAAATGAATGTTCAGTGAAGTTTTGCTACAGTTCGAGAAAAAACAACTAACCTTTTCAAAAACCTTACACCCTTTCAGCAGCCTTGGGGGGTTGTATTGAGCCTTACAGTACTTGTACTGGCCACGCGGATATTGAATAGTTTCTTGGTACGGTTATTGATTATTGTCTAAAGAGAATAGACAATAATATTAACTAATATTTATTAACTAAATATTCAAGTACGAACTAAGCTGAGATTCCTTCGAGTCTGTAGGATATTGATCAGAGCCGAAGAAGTGCCAAGAAACTATAGCGAATAGGTGATGGAGTGGGTCTGCAAATGGCTGCTTTAGAATAAGTACAGAAATAGGTTCAATCAAAGGAACCTACTATTGAGGGACGAGTATTGTTTCCTTCGAGAAGACGACTTCGAACCAGCTGAATACGGAGCACGGAGCCAGCAACGATGAAGCGAAGAAGACAGGAGCCAAGAAGCCTCGTGAGTCATCATGGGAGGCTTATATACAGTGCCGACAGTCTCCATGTGCAGCTGTGACTTCAAAAAGGCGTCTCCTCAACGGCAGCTGGCAAGCACAAAAACATGTTCTGAAAGCACACTAAGAATATTACGATGTCAATGATTTCTAAAGTAATTATTCAAAATGCTAATAACAGTTTTTCTAACCACATATATACAAGGTAGCGTATAGCTACACACCGTGTCTTTCAAACTCGCGTATCAAAGAGGACAAGGCCTCTGAAACTAGGTGCCAAGCAAATATTTGAAATTCCAACTTATCATTTTATAACAGGAGGCCGTAAAATCTCTTGAAGTGAGCATTTCCAAAAGGGAGAGATCACGCTCGTTTTGTGAAATATCAATTTTGAATTGAGTTATGCCTGCTTTAATATTGTGCTTCCCAATCTTCTCTCTCTTGGAATGCGCGTTGCAGCTGGCACGCTCCAAAGCAAATACCATGACACAGCGACTGACTGTGTATCGATTTTTCACGCTGAAAAATAACACACAATAACAACACTTAAACAACAACAACAACATAACACATAATTACTGCATACATTGAAGGCGTAAAAAATTTCTGAAATGGGCCAAACGTAACGGTTGACCCTGAGGAAGAGGAACAACATTGTTCTCTCCATAACTAAAACTGAATTAATCACACTTTGCCAAAATCAGATGTGACGCTTCGACTGACAATTGAAGAGCACATTCGAATCTTCAAGTCAGCGATTACGATAGATTCTGAAGGGTTTAGAGGGGACGTGGGGGTGCTCAATAGTACGCCAATGGCGAAAAAAGCAAAGAAATCCGTCAAAAATAAGCAAAATAGTACCCCTTTGATTGCCCTTTCATTTTCGACCATGGATGAGCGGCGACAAAGAAAGAAGTTGTTCGGACGTGTTAACCCCGATAGCCGCCATCATGCCAACAAGCATAGTGTTTTGATTGATAAGGCATTACATGGCAAGTTGGAAGATACAGCAGCTAAAAGGGAAAGGATCTTCCTTGTCGTAATCGCTTCCTTAGGCCGATGTCAGACTTTGCGAATCGCGCGATTCGCTAGCGTCTGCGGTCGCGGCCAGTGAATCACTCAATTGGCTGGTACCGCAACGCGACCGCGGACGCTAGCGAATCGCGCGAATCGCGCTCAAGATATGATCAAATTCTGCAACGAAATCGACTCCTTCGGAGCGAAAGGAGGAAAACTCAGGAAAGTTTCGGAAAGGCGGAAGCGCCGAATTCTCAATGCATGCAATTCTTCCAAGGGTGTGCACGATGTG